TATCTATAGTTTGAATAGAATAGGAATTAGGCTTGGATGATAGAGGAAAGGAGGCCATGAAGTGAACGGAAGTAGTATAAAAAGCTTAGAGTTCAGCCTAGAATTCAACGATGACAATGGACCGGTTTTTAAAATACACTATGAACTAGGTTATAGAACAGGCGATTAACAATATAAATATCATACAGTCATATATCGCTAGATATATTATACTACCAGGTTGTGACAGAAAAAATTTTGCAGGACCAAGAAGAATCTGGAATCTGTTAGATAGGAGGTAAAAGGCCATTAAGAATAATTGTAAGACATGCCCTGCTCAGACGGCGCGTCACAAGACAGACGAAAGACCAGCATGGATTGATCGGGGTCACAGTAAGGTGTTCCGAGGATTTATGTGCTCTAATTTAGAGTCTATGCTATAGGAAAACCTTCTGGTTTTCAGTTAAAGCGCATGCGTCTTAATTGATAGTTTCTGGCTCCAAAGGAGTCGATGTTGGAGTACCTCTCATTTCGTTTAAAGAAGCGAATAGAAGGGATTCGTGAGTTGGCCTTACTGAAGACTGTTAGGGAGTTGTCTTGTAGTCGTATGTTTCAACAATCTCTCTCTCTCTCTCTAATCGTATCTAGCACCTACAAGTAGTTTCCACATAACTCCAAAACACTAATTCATTTTATTCAGAATATTGGCTGTTTTGTTGATTGCAACCGCTTCCATAATATTTCGCTTATTCCCCATATCCAGCAGAGCGTTTGGCATTTGTCCTGTGCGAGTCACGTATTCAGCCAGTTCCGATGTTTTGACGCACGAACCCGTGTGGCTGTTTTCTGTTCAGATAACCTCTATGAATCTATCAATGGGTCTGCAGGTCTCTCCCAAACAGGCGCTATCACAGAAACAGAAAAGCTTGTAACAGCCCGATCTGAAGAGTGTAAGAATATTCTCGAAAAGAAAACATAACAAAGAAAAGTGTTATTTTCTCTTTATAAATAATCCCGATGTCCCATCTTCCGAGTAATTCCCCTATCTTCTTCGACAGATTGCATGATGGCAGCATATGGACTCTGGTAAAATAGTCTAACTTTTTATATAGCCCCCAATATATAGTTCCCTCCATTCGATTTGATAATATTCTAAAATAATTGTCAATCAGTCCAAGTAGATACTTGTTCCCAACCAGAATTCTTGCTAGTCTTCTCAATTCCTGGTCCCGATGCTTAATGTCCGTTAGACGCAGGCTCCTTACTATTCTTTCTTCCTAGCTAAAATTACTCGCCAATAATTGGCCATATTTGATTTCCCTCCTTAACAATTAGCGTAGTTGTATGTTTTATTAGGTCATAATATCAAGTAAATCGTGAGATTCACTTTGAAGGACTCGCTTAGTTTATTGGGAAAAACGAATCCATCAATAATAGAAAATCTAGGAACAATCCTATGAAATAAACAAAATTTCAAAATACGAATATGATTAACTTTCTGGGGCAGTGTATTCTTTGTCTTAGTGTAAAGTCATCATTCTCGGAAACAATGGTATCCTTTCGTGGAGAACGGAGGGTAGTTACTAGATTTTGTATTATTGATAAACCAAATTAGACTAATAGAACTAAGCGAGTTCTTCAAAATATGTATGCGCAATAAGACAAAATTACATTCGATAAGGATTAAAACGAGATTGCATCAATCACTGGTGAGTACTCATAGATCGGAAGATTGCTCCAAATTACAAAGAATGTCAGAAAGGCTATATGCGAGAGTTTTACAACAGATAGATACACAAATTATGAGAAGCATAGAAATTTGGTTATACGAATCAGAATAAAGAGTAATCAAAATACGTTTTAGATAAACGTTAGGGAGCAAATTATAGCTAGTGGTAAACCTGTCCAAAATAGCATTGGACGTAACCATTGAGGAAATGCTCTCAAGAGGTTTGAACTTTGCTTTACCAAATAAAAATCTACGAGACGTGGCAGATTACAGTTAAGAATTCTTATGAACTCGTTAACTTAGTTGATAAGTAGAAGATAAAAAGTGGTGATTTGTTGGTAAATTTTTCTGATAAGTTTATATATACTAACATTTCTGTAGACGATGCCATACAGGCCCTGAAATCCACACTAGTACAACTCGCGGCGATTCTAAAGAGTACGAAGTTAAGTTAGTATAAATAAAGAGCCTGCGTCTGGCATCAGTACCAGCAATTGAAAAATCTAAGGAGAATACTGGTTGAGAATAAGTATCATTGAGGATTGGTTGACAATTATTTTAAAATATTATTAAATAAGATGGAAGTAAATACATAGCTGGGACTAGATAGAGTTAGACCAATCTACTAGAATTCGTATGCTGACATCGTGTAATCTGTCGAAGTAGACAGGCGAACAGGACATTGGGAAAATAACAAATCTCTCGGTTATGCAATCTTTGCGAGAATATTCTAACCCTTTCTCCAGATCGGAATGCCACAAGATTTTGTGTTCATGTTGGAAAGACCTGTAGTCCCATACAAAAGAGGGTATCTGAACACAAAACAGGCTGAAAATGTCAGTGGGACCAAAAATCGGAATTGACCAAATATATGGCTCGCACAGGATACCAGATATATTGGTCTAATGTCAAACTCTTAGCTGGATATGGGGACTATGTCCTGTGTGTCCAATGCATTATTTTATTGATGGATTTTGAAACAAAGCTTGTTCTTTTATGAATAAATGAAAATCATTTGATCCAGTAAATCAAAGATCAAAGTAACCAATGATTTAATGATATTAATTTTATTTCTAAGATCCATACTTCTATATTCCTATATTGTAAAAACAAAAAACAAGAATAAAAATTTAATTAATGATTGTAGAGCTTTCTTCAGAATTAGTTGTGTAGGCCTTAGGTTACTATTTCATTTTACTTGACCTTGTCTCTCATAAGCTTGTCCTATACTGGATGAACTGCAGCTTCGATCTAGCAGTACCCCCAGCGAGACTCGATACCAGATCGCGAAGAAGTTACCGTTCCATAACAGGGCCATGAGTGCCAGTAAATCAAAGGTCAGGTGCAACATTCAAGGATACTGGGCCTTTTCCAACCCATTTTTAGAGTGTGATTGCCGATTAGGAAACAGAGGCCGTGCAGTGGGGTGAAAAATATCGCAACGATACTCAAAACCCTGACGGTATCGTGAGGCCTACTCATCGCATTGAGTAAAGAACTCTATTATCGGTCGGAAATTCATAGAAATGAAAATCTTGAATGGTCACAATCAACCTATTTTTAAATATATTTTTGTTGAATGATTAACGATAACTATGAGATATAGGATAAGGTATAACATATGTAAAGCAGAACTGCTCACAAAGGAATAATCGGAAAAAAATATTTAATTTCCACAGTAAACGGTAGAGAGAGTATCCATATATCCATACGTTAAAGTGCAAATATAACCTTATTCTAATTACTCATTTAAGAAACACTCTAAAAGAATGCTTTGATTAATTAGCATAAAAATACGCTTAAAAATATAGCCTCGCTTTGTACCCGAATAAGCTAATAGCCTGAAAAATGTAGAAGCCTACCAACCTGTATGATATAGTCGATGCTTTTGAGGATAGCTGTCTTCATACGTTCTTGGCAATCATTCCGCCGGACTGCACGAGTGAGACTTTTTGCCACTATTGCTTTATCGAAGACTAATGAGCTAAACTGATTTATATTCGATTCCTCTTTCCTTGCGTTACCAGCAGCATTTCCCAATCGTCTTATCGGCGTAATTGAAGTCAAGCTACTTAGGGCGATTGGCTCGACTGTATCAGTAGTGACCGCATCTCCACCCGATACTGATTGAGCGTCTCTGAATGACTCATGTTGACGAATAGTAGGTATAACGTCATCGTCAGACAGTCTTCGTCTAAACCGCGCAGATCTACGCACAGCCAGTCGGCGCCTTTGCGCCTCTAGAGCATCTGCACGTTCCCTTGCAGCCTCGCGCTCCCTAGCAGCACGTCGCTGCTCTGCTAGCCTTTTGAACTGACGTGCCGAGCGACGCAGTCGTTGATGGTGAGATGAAGTTGCATTGGCTGAGGGTGATATTGTGGTATTGGCACCCGAAGTGGAGGCCGAACTTTCAGGGCACCCTGCGGATGACCTACATCTTCCTTGAGAACCCCGATACGAGGTACTTGGGGCCTCAGGAGATGATTTGATACATGCGGTTTCCTCTTCACCAGATGACAGAGCTCGCAATCCATGATCACCCGATCCTTCACCTGAGCGGGGGCCATGCTGATGTCTGCGATTGTGAGTGGAGTGCTGGCGGTGCTTCAGCTCAGGAGTATGTGAGTCGCCTCTTGTTGAATCGGAGCACCTAATGAATCGCAAACGTGACTGACCGATTCCGGAAGAAGTTGCTCCAGGGCTAGCCTCGGAAGAGGAGCCAAGAAGCTGGCGGTTCGACTGGGTGCTTGACAATGTTTCTCTTGTCCCATGGCTAAGGCCAATCAGCTCCTCAGTTATAATTTCCTGATTAAGATAACGAGGCGACTCTATGCCCGCTTCTCTATCCCCTTCTATCCCATCAATATAAATAGCACCAGAAGCAGTCGC